AATATAAGTTATAAAAATTATATATGATAGATGTTTAGATGTATAATAAGATTTAACGACAAAAATACAAAAGGCTCCAATAGTTTTAGAGATAAAAATTCATAAAATTTTGATTTTGTATCCCTACATTACATATATATACATATGTATACATGGTACAGCTTTATACAAGGTTATAAAATGGTGGTTATCGATCTTGGGTTAAGCCAATAAGTATGAATTCTAGCTATAATTAATCATAGGATAATATAGTAGTCTTAGAATTTCGTATGGCAAGGTTCAATTGTAGGGAAATTTTGAAATTTCCATTTTCCAATGTTAAAATTCAGGAATTTTGGAACAAAAATTTTCATTGGAACTTTCTGAAAAATTTATGTAGGATAAGTCTATAGTCGTACATTAATATTTAGCAGAAAAAAACAATCGGTCAAGGTTAGTTGTTTAGATAAAAATTCATGAAATTTTGGTTTTTGTACTAATACATATATATGTAACACACAGTAGTCATCATGACGTCACACTGTTAGTATACATAGTAGAGGTTACACGTAGTATAAATAGTAATTTAGTGATATCAGATTGCTGGATATAAAATTTGGTGTCATAATTTTTACACATAATATTAATAAGTACAAAATTAAGTAGGCTATCACACATAATTTTTAGATAATATATTTAGATATAAGATTCATTAGTTAGTTTAACTTTGGCCCTGCGTCCAACTCACTTTACGTTACTTCATGGTGGACAGGTTCCATTGTTACGTAACGTTCGGGGAGGGGAGTGCAACCTTTGGGAACGCTGATGCAAATGTGACATCAGCATTTCAAAGGTCAAGGGATTCAAAATACATAGATGTAGTTTTCATATGTATCTCGCCTCTCATGTGTGTCCAAACCATATTGTGTGCAGGAGGAGATCACGAAGGGGAAGAGAGGATAGGAATGAGGAGCACAGAATGATGCCTACGTCATCATGATCATCATGATCATGAGGGCGTAGTTTGTGCATATGTAGCGTAAGTAAAGGTAGTGATCAAGTAGGCGTGGCTTATGTGATCATGTATATATAGAGTAAGCAGAGAGAGAAGAGAAAAAAAGGGTAGTTTTAGATTCAGGATCAGCAGGTTTAGTTTTAGTGATCATCAAGATCAAGTTCAAGGTTTAAGGCTTCGGAAACTTAATAATAAGTTCCTGTCTAGATAATTAGTTAAAATTAAAATAATAGCATTAGCTCTCCCACGTATTCATAATACGAGCATTTCTGTAAAGTCAATATTTTTCAGTCGGTATTGATGTAAATAAATTTAATCATAATTCTTATAAAAAAGTGCGTTTCTACAGGGTGTTAATAAAGTCCGATCCCATTTTTCCTGTAAAAAAGTGAAGGCTAGTATAAAAAAAAACTACCCGTGATACTTACAAAAAATGTTCGAGATATTTACCTTAGTATTTGGTCTTGTTACCATTTACTTTAACCATGCCCTCAACTCTTTGTTTAAGGCTCTGTGCTAATTTTTCCAATGTGCCTCTGGAAATCGAATTCCATACATCTTGAACTTTTTTTTACTAGCTCTTCCCTCGTCCGGGGTTGTGGCTCTTTGTATACATTTTCCTTAAGTATGGACCACTGGTTCTTCAGGGGATTCAAATCTGGGCCGTTAGCGGCCCACACCCCCTTGCTCCAGACCGTTGAAACTTGCGTCTTGATGAGACTCAAACTCGCTTTTGCTGTATGGGCTATAGCACCATCCTGCATGAAAACTATTTTTCTTTCATTCGGAAATATTTCCTTGTTCCCCATGCTATCGAAATAGATAGGTAATATTTTTTCCATATAATGCTTTGCATTGACTGATTGGCCTTTTGGTATGATATGTAGAGGGGTCACGCAACGTGCACAAAATCCACCCGCTACCATAACTTTAAGCCCGAATTTTGGGATCGCTCTTGATGGTACATCCGATTTGTTTTCTGTCCTGTAACGAACATTTTGTTGGTTCAATTTTGGATATAGTTCAATAATAGATTCGTCAGTCCAAAGGATGTGACTGCGCAATTCTTCACCAAGTCTTTTTTCACTCAAATGGGCACTTTTCTGAAGGAGTTATTCAAATTTCAGACGGTCATCGATATATTTTTGTGACAGGAGAGGTTTTTTTGGTTAGTTTGTAAGCTGTGTGACCCCACTTCGTAGTTTTCACAAATTTTTGCACGGTCACACAGTTAATTTGCTTCTTCTTCTCTTTATAGCGTTTTGAGTCATTTAACTCCCTTGCTCAATTACGTAATGAACTACCGGTTTTCTTGCAAAGTCTGTTTTTAATCATTCTTTTTGTGGTAGGTGACACCTTTCTGGGTCGCCCTGGTCGCTTTTTGTCGTGGACAAAATTTTTATTCTTCCATTTCCAAACAGTTCTGCGGCTGCAGCCCAATTTTTGCACAATTTCTGTAGGTTTAAGCCCCTGCTGATGCAATGTTTGTATCTCAACTCTAAGATGCTCATGACTTACACGTTTAGTTGTTCCTCCCATGGTAAAAATTTGAAATAAATAACTTCACTGGTTCAAAAGTTCCAGCTGAATTTGTAACAACCACGCTCCAAAAAATGCATGGGATCGGACTTTATTAACACCTTTTACTACAAATTTCTTGCACAACATCACAAAGAAAAGGGGCATCCGCGAAAGTGGATGTGAATCAGGACACGCAATCCCATAATAGAATAGGGAGCGTTACAACCTCAAGGAAGATCTTTAGTTTTTGTGGCGGTGGGAAACCTGGGTCGCCATAGAGGGCCGTCATTTTGTTGTAGAATGAGGCTATCGTAGAGCGATGGTCTTCAACACAGCAGGATTGATATTTCACCGCAGCCGTGGCGTCAATTTCAACTTCGGCGGCTGTTAAAGAAATTTAATAAAATTTCGGATGGATATTTATCTTTGTTAAATAATTAAATTGAGGTTAAATAATTGAAAAATTATTTACTGTTGGCTTGGTGGAGAAAAAGAAATTGAAGTGAAAGTAGGATAAGGGAGTAGTGCAAGAACATTTTTGTTTTGTGGTTGTTAAAAAGTTAGTGCGCTACATAGGTGAATGGAAATTTACCATTCATTTTTATAGGGAAAAGAGTTACTTAAATAAACCGCAAATTATTTAACCAGGAACAATTGGGAAATAAATAAATCGGGAAGTTTCTAAGAATAGGTTAATTCGAAATGTAACGAAACTAACGAAATCGAACTAATTCATGAACAGTGAAGAGGTCGACGCTGGTAGCATTTTATGCGCTGAAAAATCTGACTTGGTCGTCCTTTAGTGTTACGACCCCGCCCAGCGCCGCCGACAATTAACCAAAAACTGGCGGCGCGCCGCCGAACGCCGGTAGCATTTTACGCGCCGCTCATGCCAAAAATTTTAATTTCCTACGTGTTTGCCATTGTCCAAAAATCAACAAAAACTGGCGCCGCCACCGCCGAATTTGTCGGTGTCGACCTCTGGAACAGTGGTAACATGTGTTTTTCTAGTTAATAGGTAATTAAATACGTAAGACACGAAGAATATATAGACAGTTGTAAAAGGCGGTTGTTAAAATAGTTTAAAATTGAAAGATTTACGAGACTAGTAATATTAAATATTTATATGAAACAGAGGGGTTTAGAAATATGTTTGGTAGGTAACCATTTTTTCCTCGACGTATTAATATGAATGGATTGTTGGAAAGAAATAGTTCGCTGGTTATGATACTATTGTCCACTCTGTACATATGTTTTTCTTGATGAATGAATATGTACATATGTTGTGGTTGAGTTGATACGGTAGTAAATTTAATACTGGAGATATTTGTACCTATGTATTTAGTTAATTTAGTCAATTACCCTATTTAGTTTGACCGCATGATTAATTTTTAATTGTGTATATTTAATGTGTCACACATTATGTGTGAATATATACTTTTATTGAACACATGCATTTGCGTCGTTACATATAAGTACATATTTATCTGTAAGATGAATAATCCTGAATGTTTATTAAATTTGCTGGTACAGAATCTATGTATTCATGAGGAAAAAATAAACAAGTATATTACAAGAATAGACATAATCGCTTACTTAGAATATGTATTGCAAAACACTTAAATATTTAAGTGACGATTAATCCAGTTAATGTGTTTGGTACGAATCAAGTCACTCAACACTTGGAAGACCTATATTCATCTTTGAAGATTATATTTATCGTATATTTGTTCATCTCTTACATACTTGGAAAAGTGTGGATGGTTTGGAGTATACGAAGAAGTTTTACGTATTTAGTTCGTACTTACATACGTAGGAAATATATGGTCCCATGTTCTTGAAGTGACGAAATAATCTATTGAGCGGATTGGCATGTATGTATGTAAATATGCGCTATAATTTGCATAATTTGTATGAAACTGAATATCCAGACTGACATTGTGTTATTACTACAAATATACATACGTGAACTCCATGAATGAATGTATGAATATAAGTATGCATGCATTTAATTAATTTAGTTTAAAATTGCAAGATATGGGATATATTTATCATACATACACACGGACGGATATGACGCTTCCACAAACTTTGATTCCCAGGTAGAAAAAAATTGTGACAAATAGTTCGTAAATATACTTACTGTTCGTTCAAAATTAATATGCAGTAAAGTCCTCAAAATTTTGTAAAAAGTCAAATGGTCGAAGTTGCTGGTTGACATTGACAACGATTTAATTAGGTACATTTTGTCTACTTTTTCAATGAATATTAGGTGAAATTTGGAAAATATAAACAAACTCAATCAATGGAAACCAATCATCCGCCAAATAACCTTTCAGACTTTTTACTGCATATTAATCTTGAATGAACAGTAGGTATGTATATAACCTGCAAAAAATATATATACTGGGTGCATAATGTTTGTGAAATCAACAAACTGATTAAATACATAAGAATTAAATTATGCATGTTATGCCTACACTCTTAGAAACTGGGTATTGATCTCTGAAAAATTTTAATACCGTCGTGCTGGTATAATCACGCAATCACGAATGGGTATTAAAATTTTGCGAAAAATCAATACCACGAGCTTGTACGTGGAGAGTATTAACTTGTAATACCGAGTTGGTAAAACATCAATACTGACTGGTACAGATTTTATACCACGTTTACCCAGTCTCAAATCAGTCCGGTATAGATTTGTGCGCGAGATTTGCAATGTAATCACCTCACACTTGCAGTTGCAAATCGTTCTCTTTTTAAAAATAAGTGCTTCTAAATTATTTCGGCTAGGGAATTATTTGAGGGGAAGAAATTGACTATTCCGCTGGAAACTTTGACACGTTCTTATTAAAGGGTAAGCTTAAATTTATTTTTTCTTTTCGTTTTTTTTGCTACGTATTATATTAATCGGAAGGATTTTTAAACCACCAATTTCGTCATAGTGTCTGCTTTGTATTAATTAAATTGTTTTATATTTAGCGAGATCATCAACTTAGCCAATTCCGAGTTCCGGTCGTGCATATAGGATTCCGGATAATTTTAGGTTGGTGAATACATTTACAAATCAGAATGACTATTGAAATTAAATTAGACATGTGTAGATATTCTAAAATATTTCAACTAATTGACATTTTGCTTATCACTTATTTCAGTTGGATATTTCCTATCGAATTAGGAGTAAAATAACTTTAAATTGAAAAATATATAAAAATAACTGCCTCAAAGTGTGAATTATTTACACAATTTATTGTTTAAATTGCTTGTGCGTTTAGAACCAGTCAGCTCAACTCTTCCACATTATTGTTTGTGAGCCAGTTTCATAATTAAGTTATTCCATTATATTCCATCCAGTTGATTTCCATTTTTTGTAAATATTTGTCATTTATAATTGGCTGATTTGTAATTTTATCAAATAAATAACGTTAAAATCAATACCAACCAGTACTAAACCGTTATTTTTCATACTGCATGGTATCAATCATCAATACCGTATTAAGTGTTTTAATACCGCTGTGTCTTAGGTTGCTACCCTTCGGTATTAATAAACAATACTACCACGAACAAAAATCAATACCGCAAGTGACGTTTTTATACCGTAACGGTATAAATCCAAAATAATACCGCTTGGTATTAAATCAATACCAAAACGGTAGAGTCACATATGAATACCGCGTGGTATTGATCTGGTATTGATTTTTCTAAGAGTGTAATTTAATATTATGTCCGCACAACATAATAAAATCGACGTAATAAAAAGTATTTACAACAAAAAAAAACAATAAACAAACTTCATACGTTCAAAACTGTTTACAAATAAAGGGAATTGATCAGATTTCACAGAAATTATACTTCCATATAAATTTATTTATCTTTATTTGCATTATTCATTGCACGTAAACATGTTTTTCTACTGTCGCAATATATGTAAATGGGTGCTTTGCCATAATAAATTTATGTTAAGCTAAACTACTCTCCCTGTCACCACATAAGTCAGAACCTTGCCCACAAATTGCGTGTAATACGGTAATTCCAATTTGTGTAATTAATTTCATCATTAATTTTGAAATTTTTATTTCTCACTATTTTAATTACAGGTACTTTTCTGAGAAATTATTGTATTGTGCTTCAAATACAATGAAGTCTTCGCACCTTGTTATCTTGGTCGTGTTTGGATTCTTGATTTCTTTCGAAGGATGTAATGCCACCTGTAATTTTGAACGCCCCTTCACATTCCCGGAAGGATACGAATGTCGCATTGGAATTGGAAGACTGGTATTTCAATTAGATGGTAACTTTGTCATATGATGGAAATAATGTAGCAAAATGGAACTCTGGAACAACTGGTGTCGGTCACCTTGCTGTATTTCAAGGCGATGGAAACTTTGTAATTTATGATGTCACGGGTAAACCTCGTTTCCATACGGGAACGCACGGCGCCGGATTTCAAATGGTGTTTCAGGATGATCGCAACTTGGTAATTTATGATAAAGCTTCAAAACCATTGTGGTGGTCGGGGAACTTGTAAGATATTGTAAACATGATGTATAAAATTATTGACATGTACGTGACACGTGTTTAACTGACAAGGGAAGGTCCCCGACTGCTTATCGTGTTCCGGGTACCCACTATGTTTTTTAGAATCTACCAGGACTTCAGATGAAGGATTCATTCATATTTCCGTGTAAAACTCATATTTGGCGCCATGGCGTGGCGCCAAATTTAAAAATTTGCATTTTCGACTAATTTCAAATCCCCATAACTTTTGCAGTTTATGTCTGATTTTCAAAATTTTATGCTTAAAATGATCACAAAAGTCGAAATTTTAGAGAAAAAAATAAAAATCAAAAAATTATAATTTTTGAGATATTTTTAGCATTTTTTCGACGAACCCCCCTCTCTAAGAAAACTACGAAATTTTACGAAAACTCAAAACTGATAATTTTTCGAAAAACGTCATGGGATACGAAAGTTGAACTCCTTATCATGATTTTTGCCAAAAATTTTGAAAATCCGTCCAGGATTTCAAAAGTTATGGCGATTTCAAAAATAAAAACATTCAAATTTGGCGAATTTGGCGCCACGGCACGACCCCAAATGAATCCTTAATCTGGGTTCCTAGTAGATTCTAAAAAACATGGTGGGTACCCTGGACACGGTAAGCAGTCGGGGACCTTCCCTTGTGAGAATAAATAATTAGTACATATTTATATTAATATATTCTTCTATCAAATAAGCGGATCAACCTTACTATGATAAATAGCTTGCAATGTAGATTGAAACTTAAAAAATGCATTATTTGTTTTCAAGAAAATTTGGGATAAGTACGTATGGCGTATGAATTATAGAATTTATTTATGTATATTTCAAATTTATTTACAGTGTCTCAAAAAATTGAAGGCACCTTTACGTATTTTTAATTGCGATATGATCCCATGCACTTAGAGCTTCGAAACTCAGCATGCACTTGTATAAACTAATTGGCGAATAATCCCTCGTCGCCGATTTCTAAGGTCACCGTCCGGTCGAAGGTCAGAATTTTTTTACCACTTCAAAATGAGAGGGCAAAATGAAAACTTCATGGATAATTTTTTTTGGACTTTCTAATATTTTTTATTGGTTGCGGCAAGGCCTCACGAAAAAAATGAGCTATCGTTCGACCGTGTACTTGACACAATGTCGGATAAATAATATTTAGCAAATTATTCGTCACCTATTTAACTTGTATATGTCATGCTTACGTCCTGAAGAATTTTGAATGTTGCAGTAGTGCCAAAATTTACTGCGTTTATGGGCAACTTTTTTCCTTAATTTTTCTACTTCACAAAAATTTTTCTGATATTTTTAATAAATATTTGTCTAAACAATATTTACATCATACAAATGGAAATCAATATTGTCATTGTGCCAAAATCTGCAACTAATATTGGGCACTGTGCAAAAAGCACGTGATCGATTTGAGGGGGGCAGGGGTCAGGGCATCTTATCCTTGCTACGCTAATTATTGTATGGGATAAATACATATGTCACATCAGGGTAGTAGGGGCAAAATTCCTCTCATCCTTCATGTACAGCCCCTTACTCTTTCCAGCATTTTTGTCAAGTAAGACGACTCATATTAAAATTGTAAAACAAAACACGTACATATATAGTAGCACATTATCTATGTATTACAAATCATTCATTTTTTAGTCACCTTCATATTGATTCACTCAATTATCTTGATAAGTATGCAAAATCAGCCCTTTTTTCTAAGAAATTTGCCTTAACAATAACATAATTCAACTATGATTGATCAGATCACGAGATTTATTTACTTACATATGGTACGAGTTGTACAGAAGCAGTATGTAAGCAAAAACGAGAACCAGGTACCATTCAGGGTGAATAGGTTGCCTTGTTTAGAGCCAAATCTGTCCAATGCTGGAGAATCCTCAATTGCTCGTTTGCGAATAAAAAGAAGCAAATCATCTTCTCGTGTTTGTTAGTCATCAAAAACTTGTGGGAATCAGCACCTTGTATGCACTCGCTTTTCCAATGACGTCTAGCCTAACAATGCGTTGGCATAGGGTGATTTTCTCCGATTTTTATGTGATTAATTTAAATTGTTCACAAATATAAATATATATGTAGCTGGACCCATATTTTTTGCGTATTTATTGAATTTGCGCATTTATTGAATGAGCGAGTCTTCGAATGTGGCAGATTTCGAATAAATTTTCAGCTAAAATCTAGATTTAAATAACGCTGCAAATTTTAACCCGATTTCAAAAATTAAGCATTTCCTCCGAATTACACATCTTGAGTAGTCATAAAAATGATATTTTTTTTGTATGTACAGATGTAAATTAATGTAATATAACTGTAAATTTACAAAAATTAAATGGTGTAATTAATTTAATTACGTAATTTGCGGGCGAGAACCTGCGCATTCCAGAAAATAGAAAATATCGGTCATCTTCCATTGTAAATTGTAAATTCTTTCATTGTGATGTCATTGCATGTATGTATCTGTCAGTTATCAGCTTCAAACAAATCCGGTCAGAGACAAACACTTTAAGCTTACCCATCCTGCTTTGCACAGTAGTCTCTCTGCCTCCATCGAGTGTAACATTGCCAATAAAATAAATTATCATCATGCAAAAAACTGGTTATGATTGACTTATCGTGTCTATAATTGCATACCAGTTAGCATTTTTATGTTCATTCCAGTCCAAAAAGTATGCATATTTACCTGCAAATAAATAAATAATGCTGCATCACTCTCCTCTCAATTTCACCAGTCGCCAACAACTCCTTCGTCAAGATGGACCTCCGTATTTTGCTAATTTTGTCCCTTTTCGGCACAATCATCCCTCCCGGCTCGACGGATGGGCCGAAAGGCTGGTTTCGAAGGGCGCAAGAACACCACCGTGAAAAGATTTGCGGCGGCCCAAAGACGCCACAAGCCGCGGCAAATCCTTTACTAGTGGAAACCGAAAACGGCAAAGTTTCCGGAGTACAAGGAGTTTCCCGAGGTGGGAAAGAATTTGTACAATTTCTCGGAATTCCGTTCGGACAGCCGCCCGTGGGCAAGCTACGATTTGAGGTAAGCTTCCTAAATACACGCTTAAAAATAATGTTACCTTTTAAAAATAAATGCGCTCTGAATTCTAAATTTAAGGAAACTTTACGAAATCCAATGTAAACTTTACTCTTTTCGAAGAGAACGCGCTAATCTGGATTTAGTACAATTTGCTTAGTATTTATTGTATTTAATTTTTAAAAAAGTAACATTATTTTTAAGTTTGAAAAAATATGAAAGAAATTTTAACCTAACGTGCTGAATTAATTATGTTTAAACTTTTTTTTAATCAAGTCTCCAAAACCTTTCGGAAAATGGGACGGTGTCCTCAACGCGACAAAATATGGGCCAGCTTGCGCCCAGTATGATTTTTTCGTTGCCAGGAAATCCATTGGAGTGGAAGATTGTCTGCACTTAAACGTCTTAACACCTTTGGTAACCAATTTATCTGTAAATTTAAGCCTAGCTTATTTTGCCTACTGGCAAAAATTAATAAACCCCTTGCTAAATACCTACATAAGTAAAGGGTGCTGATTTAATTCGTCCCGATTGTATTTAAAACTCTAATTTAGAATCGCAGCGATGACAAACTCCTCCCCGTTTTTGTCTACATTCACGGCGGTGCATTTCACATCGGTGCGTCCCACGACTACAAAGGAGACTACTTCATGGACCACAATATCGTTTTTGTCTCCTTGAATTACAGATTGGGAGCTTTAGGTGAGAATTATTTAATAAAATCACATCAATCAAGTTATCCTTCAACAAAAAATGACTTGGATTGAAGTTTAAATTTTTTAAATTTGAAAATTTCTACAACAGGATTTCTAAACACGAACGACGGTTTGATCCGAGGAAACATGGGAATGAAAGATCAGGTCTTGGGGCTTCAATGGATTCAAAAAAATATTCGACAATTCGGCGGTGATCCCGACCTGGTCACGATTAGTGGCACGAGCGCGGGTGCCATCAGTGTGAATCATCACCTCTTTTCACCAAAGTCCAAAGGTAGACATCAGATAACTAAAGGGTGTTAATTTAATTCGTCTCGATTTTTCTTTTCAATATTGGAAAACCTGGTTCTCAAAAACGGTGGAGATTTGAGTTCATTCTTCTTATTTGAGACACATTGCTACGTAAATAGTCATTTAGAAATTTATATTAATCATTTCCTTGACAATTTTGTCTTCATGGTAATTTTCAAAAATTTGTGACGGGTTCCAAAAAGTGACATGGACGAATTTAATCAAAACCCTTCACATATGTAGCACACAATTTCCAAAAAATGCAAAACTGAACATATCCATTAAAATTTTTTTCTTTCCAGGCCTATTTTCCAAAGCCGTTATAATGAGTGGTAACAATCTGACACCGTACGGAATTATGCGCTCACCTAAAGAATCTGCGGATAGATTCATCTCCAAAGTAAATTGCAACGCGGGGTCACGGGCTGATGAGGTGACCTGCCTTAAAAATCTGGACACATCTCAACTTTTGGCCGGCCACGGAGATATCGTGGTAAGGAACAAATCCTATTAAAATTAATTTGCTGAAGGTGTACGTCCATATATTTATTACGTCATTAAAAACGTGGTTGGGTATTTTTCCGTCACCCATCCCACTCATGTAAAACGTAACATGAATAGGACAGGGAAGGAAAGGGTGTTCGGTGTTCAGCATTTTTTGACAACGTAATATTTCCCCAATGTCCACTCTGAAACGTAAATGCACTCTGAATTCAATGTTAAGTAAACTATATTTAATCCAAAGTAACACGAAAAATTTATAAAGACTAAGGTTTACTCTGGTTTTAGTATATATGTGAGTTCTTTATTTTCCCATTATAATTACACACGTTATCAAATCACATACATTACACGTGCGAAAAGCTGACTACAAATGAATTGTACATCTAAAAATCCCTAACCTTAAAAAAGCCCGTAAAAATGAAATTATGAAAAAGTCAAAATAGATTATATGCACATAGTTGATAGTTTACTAAATATAGATTTCAGAGTGCGTTTACTTTTCAAAAGTACCGCATTATTTTTAAGAGAGTGGCTTAAAATTATTAATTGAACAGTAAAATATACAAGTGGATGTAATCATGTCAATAATGTCATTTTCAGATCCCCCTTCCCCCACCGTTCGAGCTATTCTTCTCCGTGAGCAAGGAAACTGTTCAGGATGACGACACTTTCATAGCAGAAGATCCACTGGAGACAATAAAGTCCGGGAATTTTAGCAAGGTCCCCGTTATCATGGGAATTGCGGAATTCGAGCTTCAAGCCTTAACAGCATGTAAGAGTGGATTACTTTTCGTAAAAAGCATCAAATTTTTCATTTCTCTGCTCTGGGAATTTATTTTAAAATTCTGAACGACAAAGTTTTACATCAAGTCCTTGAGGAAATTGGACCTCTTCAAAATTCGCTTAAAAACTCACTTCCATCCTATTTATCATCTTTCTGATTTCAACTTTGTCGTCCAGAATTTTAAAATCAATTCCCAGCGCTTAGAAACGATTCAAAATATGTTTACTTGGACAATTTTGGGGATGATTTGGGATCAATCCTCTGCTAAAAAATCAATGATTAAATTACACGAGCTTTTTTTGCAAGTTTTTACATATGTATGTATGGCAAATATTTTCATGTTCACTTTGTACAGTATACAGCGGATTTCCAACGGAGTCTGCCCGAGCCCGAGACAACTTCAATGATTGGGCCCCTGAGAAACTCGACTATCAAAAAGATGATAAAATTTCCGATGAAATCAAGCAGTTTTACTACCACGGAAACACAACTGATGTTACCGCAGGAGACAAGGCCAGACAAACCTCGATCTTATTCACGGACAGAATGTTTATCACGGGGTTGGACAAGTTTGCCAAATTGTATTCCGCACATGCCCCCGTGTTTTTGTATATCAACGCCTGGAACCCGGAACCCAATATGGCGCTGGCGAATTTGATGTCGACAAGTCACAAGAATTGGAGTAAGTTTATCCTTAATGGAGATCTCCCAGCTTTTGGGGGAGCCGATTTTAAGCATATTTGTCTCAATCGGTCAGAAATATAATTATTGCGAAATTTGCTAAAGAAATAGTCTCCCAATGTGCAGGCATATGTGCATTCGAAGAGGAGAAATCGTAAAGTAAATTTGAAAAGTGTAAAACTTATCCAACTTTACTCCCGGTTGTTTTTTCTTTTTGGATGCAAATATCCCCTCCAAACCTGGGAGATATACATAGGAGCCTATTGTAAATTTCATACTAATTAAGTTTCCCAAAATTAGAGGAAGTACGTTATGTTATCATTTCGCAGCATTTGTAAGCAATACTTAATGTTTTATGGTAAATTCCACGCAGCTGGAAATTCACATGGGGACGACGTCATCCTACTTTTTGAACAAGCTCACGCAAAATTGGACAAAGGAAGCAGAATTTATAAGTTGTCCCAAGATCTTGTGGAATTATGGACGCAGTTCTGTAACGAGTACGTACTTATTTGGATCATAGTTATATATACAGTGTTTATTTCTTAATGCATTCAATTTTTTTTAATTTAGAGAGTGGATGAATTTCCGTGGGGTTCCGTGGTGGCAAAATAATCCGATGGGGAAGAACGTGACTTTCCTTAAAATTGATGACATTCCCGCACTGGTGCAGGATCCTTTTAAGGAGAGAATGGATTTCTGGGAGAGTATCGAGCAAAAAATTAAGAGCCCGTAATTCTGAGTCATTTTTTCTGATAAAAACTTTGGTGCCTACAAAATCTGAATTAAATCCCCGAAAACTACAATCCTTAATCTTCTACTACAGATCATTGTTTAAATATAAGATATCAATTCATTGAGCAATAAATCTTTTCAAATTTATTGCACATATTCTGCATAAATATTTAGCAAGAAATGACCACATATTGACCATCCACTTTGATTAGATTTGCTCTGGCCGTGCATAGAAATTGGGGGAATAAAATTTGGAAATTGCAGATCTGTATGTGTAGTTACATACCAATTTTTATGATAAGTTAACTAGGAATGTTCACATTAACAATATACATAATCGTATGTTTAGATTCAGATCGTCATGCGCAAAAGACTGTCCCATTGAAATAAGGTTGGACCACATTATACTAGTTACAAAACATTAATAAAATTTATTAAACAATAGAAAAATAAAAATATTGTGGGACAGGTTATAAAGAATGGTTTATTTTAAGTCAGGGATTTTACTCAATTAAGCATGACATGCATATTTGTATGTACAAACGTACATACATAAGTTAATACTTAAGTAAAATAATTTTAGAAATTAACCACACATACTTAGCAGAATTTTATGTCTCAACAACTAACTACAGTTTATACATAAATCATCAGACATCGAAATACAACTCTCAATTTAGGTTACGTTTACTTACATAATTAGAGGAAGTCAAACTACTTAATTACTGAAGTCAAATTTTTGTCTCTTGTTTCACCAAGAGTGGTTTTGACGAATTTTTAGTTTTACCAAAATTATTATCTATTCCAAAGCTGGTAAACATTTCGCTACAAAACTTGCAGCGAATAAGTTAATCGCTCCACCGATACGAGTACAACTCCTTAACTTGTATGATTTGTCTTTAAAAAGTTACATAATCGAATCGTTAACACATGAAAAGCTGTTTACGGTTACTAAAGAACAAAGTGTTGAACTTACATATGCACAAATACATACATTTATGTGCATATCAACAAATATAATTTAAGACATAACTGGAAATATTACTTATTAGCTTATTATCAGCTACAGCGTCGGATATTCGAAGTATACCTACGTATATTTGATGAGAAGTCTATGAAATAATTATAACTCGCTTTATAAATTCTTGAAATGGGTTCGGACTATAAATGGAATCTACTGGGACAAGAAGTGGTATAGCCATATTGGAATAACCACCTAATTAGAATCAACCCGTTTGCTACATACTTCTACCAAAACATATCCACAATAATTTGCATAATAACACATTCTTATCGTATTCAATACACGCGGATACAATAAGTCTAAAAAATTTTCTCTATCCTAAAAGGCAGCTAATATATAAGATAATCAAGAAAAGATGCTCGCCCTTGGCAAGAAGTGATCAGATTGATTAGAAAGAAAAAACGTTCAAATAAATTGCATTGATCAAAGATACATAGGTAATCTTCATGTCAAATATTGAGCAAAAGTTTCCGTCGAAAGCGAAATACGTTTAGTTGATTACTACTCTACCTGCATTATTTTCCAAAAGATTAACTCCTTAAGCAAGGTCGAGCCAAAGATGTTATACTGGACACTTTCAATGCAGAAAATAAACGTTTCTAATTAATGAATCTAAAATGGCCGCGAACCTTTTTATCAATTTCGGAAGGATAATGAGATAGAAATTAAATGCGCAATATCGTCAGTTAGACAATGTACCCTCAGCTAACATGACATGGGATAAGGTGACTAACAGAAAATGCTTAACCCTTTTTTTCTTTTCAACTTCTTCATAACTTGGTTCAGCTGACTCCTGTGCTCTTACTCGAAGAAATTTAAAGTACACAAAAGCACGACTTTCTAAACTTTCCAAATTAATGCCTGCCGTGATTATGGCACCATCCTCGTGAACGGATTACAGACGTTCACGTGAATGCGGTACAAATTATGTCTACAGTACAAATTATTGTGCTACACGAAAGGGACTAAATGGCTATTTGCTAACTCAACTTTGGATTCTTTTTTTCGAATTGCTGAATTTAAATACTGGGCATCCAAGCTCACATTGATTATTTAGAATAATGGAAAATTTATTCCAAACGAGCTATGTAAATAAGGGGCCTACACATACTTCTCTACCAGCAAACTTGGTTTCCACGCGTAATGCTTAGATAACCTAACAAGTTTTATCAAGTAGTTAATTGCATTCATGATACGGGCGATTTTAATTATTTGTTCTTTCTGGAAATTTACATCATTTTCGAAGGAATTTAATCACTAGGCTTAAGTATGTAGTTAGTAAGTAAATATTAATTTCCGAAAGTCAATACCCGCAAAAAATGAGAAAATCGTTCGAAAAACATCTTTGGCCTACTCACAGGCCACGCGTTGAGATCGCTTACATTAACCATTTAGGAAAATTTGTACTATACAATCAATCCAATTTAACGAGAAGTAAACAAATATTCTTTCGCGTTAGAAATCTGTACGGACCGAGTAACTATAAGAGTGACAATAATGAAAACCGGAATCACTTCACACCTTTACAATTTTGATTTGGATAAGATTCTCAGAGTTGGTAGAGCTGATTTTTATGAGTCCAACGTTCCAAGTCCGGTGTTTCTACTCCACCCTCTCGCGGAGTGGGAGGAGCTCAAAGTTGGAAAAACAGGGGTTTTCTGCGATTTTTAGCTTAAAGGCGGGTCAATATTTTTGAAAACAGTTTTCACCAAAAGTTTCCTAATTTTTTTATCTACAACTCTTTTCAAGCGTTTTTTGAAATTCTCAAAACGGATGTCACGATTTTGGATTAAAAGTAGGGAAAGGTCAAGTCTCACATAACCCCACAATTGGGGTCATATGAGATACCATTGGAAAGCTCTCCACGCGAGGATTAAGAATATATATACTTTGTCTGGTGTATGACCAATCCCTGTTGTTCTAGAGACAAAAATATTCTGAGTTTGTCCCTATACCATTGCCATGTTAGCTCCCAATCTTCCGCTGTGTTAAATTCTGGAACATTAAAGATTCTCGTTCTCACGCACATCTCAGATCTGTTAGACCCCGAACCATGACATTTCGTCATTTTATGATGTTTAGCATAAATTAGGATGGTTTCTGCACAAATTCGCGTCATTTAAAAAAACTCGAAAATCTGGAGAAAAAACTTGAATCCAGAAAATCCGAAATCGTGACATCCGTTTTGAGAATTTCAAAAAACCCTCGAAAAGGGTTGTAGGTATAAAAATTATGAAACTTTTGGTGAAAACCGTTTTCAAAAATATTGACCCGCCTTTAAGCTAAAAATCGCAGAAAACCCTTATTTTTCCAACTTTGAGCACCTCCCCCTCAGCGAGGGGGTGGAGTAGAAACACCGGACTTGGACCCTTGGACTAATAAAAATCGACTCTACAAACGCTGAGAATCTTATCCAAATCAAAGTTGTATGGGTGTGAAGTGATTCCGGTTTTCATTATTGTCACTCATAACTAATTTTAGTTTTCATAAAAACTTCAAACAACCAATTTGCTGGCTAATTGTTATACGAGCAGTTAAAATTGACCTTACAAAGTCGCAGTAAGAAATGAAACACTTGAAGTTTTTTAATTCATAATTTTTGTCTTGAATAATTCACACATTATTAGCAAACAAATGTAATTAATCATTATATGTATTTATATCATTTCGTGAATACAAACCCCAACAAAAATGCGTTATGTGTGAATAATTTTTCACTAAAGTGTACTACTCAACGATGCATTCGAATATGTTCATATGTTAAACCGAGGAATAATTATGGGCCTAAGGAGTCTTTATCTACTAAAAAAGCAGAAAAAACATGGCCATCGATACATTAGATGTAGGACACGAATATTTCTCACGACCTAACTTCGGTTCTATTTAGTCAGAGCAGGAATACCGTAAAACCTCTATTTATAGCCCTCTTCTAATTATAGCCGGTCTCCAAATATAGCCGGGTCTAGAGCCCAAGATTTCAAAATTTTGGCCGGGTCTCTAATTATGACCTGTCTTGTCCCCTGTGTCCCTGTTCATAGTCCATTAAAGAAAAATGTTGCACATTATGCCAATCAACGAATAAGTTGAACTACTAATTTTTTCCTATTAATTTCAGGTTAATAATGGATATAATCATGACAGACGATTTAAAAAACCTGCTAAACTTCGTTTCAAGATGTAGATTAAAAGTGAATGGGTTACTTATGGCTTATCTTGCTAAATTAGAAAACTCAAATTGAGTCAAAATGAATTATATTTGATTTTGTAACATCTAAAATTTTTGGAGCAACAAAATTTAGCCGGGTCTCTAATTATAGCCGGTCTCTAATTTTAGCCGGGTCCGTGGCCCTCAGTTTTGGATTTTAGCCCCGGCTATAAATAGAGGTTTTACGGTATATTATTCCATGAAATCATTAAGTTAGAAAATATGATGTTTTCACATACTTCATATTTTTCAATATTTCTCATTTAACACAATAAATTGTGTCCGCTCTCGAATTTTCGATTTTAAGAAATAAACTATAAAATCTCAATGATTATCATTCTTGGAATTTCGTTGGGAGTTTAGACAATCTTTCGAAACGCATAATTGCCCTGTACACCGGACAATGATTTCATACTTATGCATATTTCTATACCAGACTTAACGTTATCCCACAACGTGCACATTTCTTTGTCAAATGAATTGACACACGGGCTTTTCTAATATTTAAATATTACATACAACGAACTACACATTTTCTGATAACAGAACAATGATTTCAGATTTGTCAAATATGAAAATTAGAAGGACGACTCTAATTAAACAATTTGTTAACAAATTGAAAAAAAAATAATATTCAAATTTAAAGAAATCATTGTAAAACCGTATCTTCTGACGCTATCACCGCTTCGAATGTGTAAATTACCAATCCTTAAATTATGAATCCTTAAAAATCTACGACGACGAGGAATTATTCGCCAATTAGTTTATACGACTGCAGGCATTCGTAAGTGCTCGGGATCATATCACAATTAAAAATAGGTGCCATCAATATTTTGAGACACTCTACATAAATACGTAAGAATTTTTCTTATAAAAATTAGACGACTGGATGGATTAACACATGCACAATTTTTGTAATTAAAAAGATGTTCGACGAAAATTGTTGACGTCATTGAAAAATGGTTATAATTAAAAGTAAATATAATTTATGCAGTTATGTATCAAAAGATACCGAGATCCATTCATGTTTCCATTGTTGCGGTAGATAAGCCTAATTAGGTCGAATTATGTAGAAGATGGGACATTACTTGTTGCAGGAGGAAGTAGACAAGCTTGTTGTGGATAATTATGAAATGGTTCCTTCATGAGACGAGGGGTGGTCTAAAATCTGTAGTCCTACAGATTTTAGACCTTCCTGAAGTGATGACCTGGCAGTGTCATGCAACATGTTCTGCAGTCTGCAAATTTCCATCACGAATGTCATGGATTCTTGGAAGCTGTAATACAAGCAAAAAGGTAATTACCATTAAATACGTGAAAAACATGTCAATAAGCAATTACCAGGATAATGTCATCGCTTTGAAAGTAAATGTACTCTTATGAAAATCAGAATTAATCCACAATTTGATATTCAGTTCTATTCTGTTAATCGAGTCAACATTACTCTTGGTTTAGTATCTACATACGTTTAGTTTACTGAATTTAGAATTAAGAGTGCGTTTGTTTCTCAAAAGGGTGGCATGCTTTATAAATAAATATGTAAGAGTATATTTAAGAAAGGCTTAGTTTGCAGGTCTTGGCGTAAAAACGTTATCAATATTTTGAAAATGCTACTCAATAATTTTACGATCAAGGATACCCATCTTCTTAAACGTATACATGGTTTTTAAATATCTCAAAACTCATTAAAAAATTCCAGAAAACTTATTTATTTGACGAAAAACCTTGTGAATAGTCAGACACCTCGTCATATTCTTAGAGTAAATTATAATTATTTTTAACTAACAATCGGTATCTATGTTAGCAAATTATTTTCAAATTAGCAAATCGTGAAGTTCAATTCCAGCGACAAAAAATTTTCTTACCTCGAAAAAATAGGGCAAATTTGTACCCTCAAAAGTCCCGAAATTTAGGTAGATATAGAATTCCCAATTATGAAATTGGAATAAAGCGAATTATCTGAAATGAAAAGTCATAACTATTTTAAAATCCAAAATCGTAACAGCTTTAGTTCAGAACCAAATGTTAAAACTACAAAAATTTATTTTTTAGTCGACACAAAATTTTCATTGATGTTTTTTATCAGCCTTTACATGTTTCTTTAAAACGAAACTGAATTTACCAGATAGTGAGTTTTATATTTAAAGGTTTCATTGATAAATTTAAACTCTAATTAAATTTATAAGTGTAGTACTATAGAAATATAATTTACCAAGTAAATAAAAATTTATGTGCTTCTTATTAATCCAATATAAATTCGTGCAAATTAATGCAACAAATTTCTTACCGTACAAAGTTGGAAGCCGAGTCTGCGTTTGTGCTCCAATTTGGCAAAACATAAATTCTTTTTTCACTTATTTTTTTACGTCTCCACTTAACTTTTAAGACTTATTTTACACGTGACGTAATTAAAATTTCTGTAATGGAACTGATGCTAAACGTTCTGCAATTTTTTATACATGTTACTGGAGAAAGGTTGGAATGATAATGAGAAAGAAATCACCATGCGTTGCATTATTTAAGGAAACCGGCGTGGACGTGGCCCTTCGAGAAGGACCACGAAAAAGAAAGGGTCCTTCCTTTCTGAGAAATGTTGGATAAATTTAACCCAACATTTTAGACAGTGCTGAATATTTAACCTGCGAGGGTACAAATTCCACACGGAATTTTACTCGGAATTTAACCCGTCCTTTTTTACCTGCCTACAATCCAGGCTAATCGGAAATTTCAGAGAGTGATGGAATATATACATACCTATGTACGTATAAATATTTATGTAAATGTGCACTTTTCTACGGCATATATTTTGTACAAACTAACAGTAATGTAGCACTTTTGAAAAGCAACTGAATTCTAAATTAAGTTGAGTAGTATTGTAAATTTATTCGTGCATGATGCACGTTATACATATACAGGGTGGTTAAAATGTCACGCCACAATGGAAAATTTTTCAATTGGAAAAGTCCCTAAATTTCCATTAGTTACAAGATTTGGGATTGAGATTTTTATTAATTATTATCAAAACTGATGACAAAATTCTTAAAATGTTGCATTTTAGAGACAAAATTTCGGTAACTAATGGAAATTTATGGATTTTTCCCATCGAAAAATTTTCCATTGTAGCGTGACATTTTAACCACCCTGTACATATGCACATATTTACGTATCTTCGCGTACATATGTACATAAGTATTTTAAATGTACAGTGAATCGCTTTTTTAACTGATCAGGATACCGGAACGGTTTGTCTTAACGGGTCAAAATTTTGAACAGAGGAGCATGTTGTCCTTCTCTTGTGTTGGGAAAAAAATCAACTCATATAATCCCGGTGTAGCCTTAAAAATTGTTCCATTGTGAGTAAACAATTAATACGTTGCACAATAGTTGTTCTCACATTGGCATGTGTAGGATTGCCAAGTAAATGAAGCTCATAGAAAAAAAAACTTGTTAAAATTAACTTCGTATAAATTTGCATAATTATCTACGTATGTTCGTTGATGCAAAATATTATTACAAATAGCTTCCCATTCCTTCCCTCTAAATACTCGAATTCAACCAGTTTGCAGCATTTCGTGAAGATGGACCTCGATGTTTTAATAACTTTGCCCATCTTTGTCATAAGTTTCTCCTAATGGAGAGTTCCTAATTCGTCACAATTTTAGATACTACTGCTCCTGTGAGAATATTAAGAAGCGTGTCATCTATTCCTGTTACTTATCAAAAAATCATGGGAAAAAGTGGGCCAAGTATGAACACGCAAATGTCAAGAAAGAAAACAGTTGCTTAAAAATTATGCAATGTTATATGTAAGACGGTACTGATGTACATACATATGTAAAGTAAGAAATATACGATTCAACAACGAGATCCACCACAGATTTTAGAATTTGGTAGGGTTGCCGCGGGTAACGGGTCGGGTACCCGTTACCCGCATACCCGCACGATTTTTGCGGGTACCCGTTATCTGCGGGTAGCGACAACTACCCGCACGGGTAACGGGTAGTTCAGTTTTTATTCTATTTTGGCCATAAATTGGCTAACAAACAAAGTTACAAGCTTCTCAGGCCTTAATTACAATTACAGAAGCATGATTTTATTATATATTCAGTTCAAAATTTGTCATTGGCAGCAACAAGCCTTTATAGTGAGTGTCTGCTCGGAAGCGACAGAAGATACGGCAGCCTCAAATACTTTTTACAAATTTGTACGACCAGAAAATGCGGAGAAATTATTGTTTCTCAAGCAGATATAAATTGTCTGCTCTAAAATACGTGCACAAATTTTATTTGTATTTATACGTATTTTTGTAAGACTGAGAATATTTTAATTTGTGCAGATGAAAAACTTCAATCTGATTGAAGGCTAAAATTTTATTTGCAGAAGATTTTTCAATGAAAACTTCATTGAGATCATAATTTCAGAAATTAAACTAACATTGGAACTGACTGATTTTTTCAACTTGATTTTTTCAAGCCACACCAAGATTGTCTAGCGAGTTATGCCAAAACGTCAAGCTAAAAATTATGGATCACGTTATACTTTTCCTTCTGTTGACTGCTCACTTTGAAGAAAAATATTGACTGCAAGGTTAAATTTTTAGGTAAATATTTGCCATCTTTTTCTTCGGACGAAAACTTTGAACTCTGCACTCGGAGTGTAGCACTCCCCCAATAGTTTTCTTTAAACGGATCATTCAACGGAAAAATAAGTGTCATGTAATTCCTAATTTTTGGCCTAATTTTTGAATTTTTTATATAAGCGGCTAAGCAACCCTGTGTAGCTTGAAAAACGTTCCATTATAAGCCAGAAAGTTTGGTTTCAGAAACAAATACCTAGTTACACCAACATAACAAATTTTTGTCATGCTTTACTTGCATAGCATTATCTCCAACTACATATCAACCAAACTGAGCAAATAATTGATTACATCAAATTTATTCTGAACGTTGGTCAGTTTTTAGCTTAATTCCCAAAACGGGTAGCGGGTAACGGGTACCCGCACGGGTACCCATGCGGGTACGGGTAGCAGTGCTGCGGGTAGAGGGTCGGGTAATGGGTAGCATTTTCGCTACCCGCGGCAACCCTAGAATTTGGATTGAAGTATTTTAAAATGCTGCTACGTATGATGAGTGGGTGACGACAATACCAAATTTTTCGGGGTGATTACCCTGGGGGGCCTTATCGCATGTCTACATGATAAAGCGGATTTCTCTTAAGCAAATGGACTGAAGTACCAAATCTTTGTTGTTGTAACCTCCACCCATTTTTGGGGGTTTCCCGAAATTTTAAGGTTTAAATTCGGAAGCGAATTTGCAAAATCGAAATAAATAAGGTTCGAAATTTGTATTTCCGACCTAGGGTTTTCAAAAGACACTGTTGCCATTTTTAACTAAAATCTACGTTCAAAATCTGGCAGCGAAGGTATTGAGCAGACGAGAGTACAATAAAGGGTAAGATAATATTAGTAACCGCCAATTACAACTTGTTTTCTGAAGTTTAGACGTGTAATTATTCTAACTACTGAAAAAAACATTCAACTCAATGTGCGATTTATTGGTGAGCATCAGGAACAAAATTCACAGTAGAAGCTAACTGTCTACATATGTACATACTAACGAGAATGTGACTTATCTATCCCTGGGAAAATATTTGGCTTTTGTTATCCAACTAATATATAAAGAAACTCATAATTTCACCACGTCTGAAAAATAACATCCGGTTTAAAAGTTTGAGGGCTAATTAGTTTTCTTGTTCCAACAATAAATTATATACCTTGAAGGGCGAGTTTACCAACTTCAATTTGGTAAACTCAACTTAAACTTTTCTTCTCAATGGCGAAGAATGGGCGGATTCTTTGGATACACATGTAATAAGCTTCCTCCGAAAACGTGAATCATCAAAATAATTTAGAGACCCTTAATCCATCACTTGTTTTTGCGTAGTAGGTCGGTTTTTGAACTAACGGTTACATCTATTGACCTGTTGAATTATAGATACATATACGCTAATAACCTGTAAGGAACCCTGGTGTATCTACATATTTTTCATTCACCACGGGGACTTTAGTCAAAAGGTGTAGAGTAATTCAAACAAACAACTTTATTGCACAAAAATTAAAGCTTCGGTGCAAAGCATAAAAAATAATTAGTAAGATGGCTAATTTAAAAGCCTCTATGGGATTGCCTCTTCTATTTTTAACTACCTTCGGCGTGAGAGTTGAAGGTAGCGTGGGTGCAGGAACTCATGTCAAACTTGAGATAACAGACTATCTAATACCTTTCAAAAACTGCGTTTTAATTGTCCAAATTCCAAATAATGCTTCGTATGTTCTCCGACATAAAGCAACATACGCGCCAATAATTTTATACACGTTGAATTTGAGGCAGGGAGAAATAATTGATACAAAATTTTCCAAGCAAGTTAGGCGGAACCCATCCCCACATTGCTGGGCATCGTTTATTATCTTTCCTGAAAAACATGACAGCTTCAAATTGGAGGACGAATATATCGATACCACCTTCGGACCTGATTTCATCAGGCCGCATTGGCCAAACCAATATTTCACTTGGATCACAACTGCTAAAAATGAGATACAGCAACGCCTCAGGAGATATAAGTTTGATGGAATGTATCGAGGTGCTATCAGGGAAGATTTAATTATCGAGCTTGCAAAGAATAACCACGAATTATTATCATCTAATGACTCTGTCATTCGAGTATACTACGACAATCAGTACTACATGGATACACCAATAGTTGGTATGGAACAGATCCCAAGATGGTCCAAAATAGATTGCTTGCCCAATGATTGTTTTAAGCTAATCGAATCTATGGTTATGAATGATTCAATGAAAAACAAATATTTTTGGACTTCATATTTCCAAATTACCACATATAGGTTTACAACAATTAATGAATTGTTGAGTCAGTTTGACTTATCTGAAGTACGATCCAGCAGACATGGCCTCCAAAAAATTGCAAATTTACTTCCATTTAATACTTTCGTGAGCTACTGGATATTACAAGATGTTGTCCACCATTCCCTCGAGAATGTCACATTTCCTCACATATTCAATTCAATCATAAGACCACCATTATATTGGCAAAGAAATTTCAAAACTTTGGTTGCTCACGGTGTGCAAAGACTTACACATGTTTCTTGTTATGGCGTGAAACCAGTAAATTCAGGTTATCTCTTTGCTCTAACAAATCCATTCGATTCTGCAACATGGACCTGCATTTTCATCAGTATTTCAGTTTTTATCCTCATTTGTGCCGTACTTTCAATCCCTTCTAACGGAGGATTATTTGCTATCGGGATGATTCTTGAAATCTCTGCATCAGAGCTGTCCTTTCACATTTCTAATAAGTATGTTCGAGGCGTCAATACCCTCATTGTTATATGGGCATTGATGGTAGGAATTATTTTGACCAATTTATATAAAACCTTTTACACGATGGAAATGATTGTGCCAAAATCGTATACATCCTCGTGGAAAACCATCGCCAAGCTCGAGGAGCTACGAATTATGATTCCATTCAATCTGCTCCTGGACACGGAGGTGGATCCGAATCAAATACCAGATCTAGCTCAACACGGCCACTTCTTTCAAGCCGTAATGGAACGATTATTGGAATTATGGAAATTACCAGAAGACCATTCCAGATTAGGTGCAAATGTTAGGCTGGCAAGAAAACTGATGAACATTATTCTCCCTCCTTTTGGGATAGGTTCAGATTTGAAGTCATATAGAAATGGCACATTTAACAGATATGAGGCTTTAGGTGTGGATTCTAATTATAATAAGAGTAACTTTAGCTACTGTCCGATACAACCAATATTGTACACAGAAACCAACTTGGCATTGAAAACTTTGTCACCCTGCGGTAAAACTGCGTTCATGGACACGAAAGAAAATATTGATGCCAAATGATGATTTTCCCAAATTAATTTATTAAATTTGGTCAATTTAAGGTCCAGAGGAAATACGCACGGGGGGTTTGAAGAAAGTTATTGAACCACGTTTACACAAACGACGACTACTAGCCGGACAAGAACTGATTATTGGAATGGAGGAACAGGCACACGAGAAAAAAATGAAGCTGTTGGATTTACAGATTTTACGAGAAGAAGGACGAATTTCAATGGATAAAGAGTATCATGAGGCCCGAATGAATTTTTTAGCAAAGCAAAATTATCCAATGGTTCAACATGTTGAAATAATGGACACGAGCCTATTGGATGCATAATAATTTGATTCAAGTATATTTTTAATTCAATGAAAAATTAGCAATCATTTCCTTAACTGTTATGTAATGAAAGTTGTGTGAGCAAAGTTAAAAAAAATAAAGCGATTTTTATAACGGAACTATTTTTGACTAGATTGCGTTACTTTTACGAAAAATGGGACAAAACGATTCTAGTTCTTGAAGCTATCCCCGACGAGGACAGGGGGGTGACCGTATCCTCTTCATGGTCTTCGTCAACTTCTTCCTCAAATTGGAGATTATCCCGATGCAGCAGTGCAATGTTATGGAGAACACAGCATGCGACGATGGTGGTCAGACATGTTCGCAATTTCAGCCGCATATATCTTAAACAATTGAATCGTTGTTTCAACACACCGTTGCATCTCTCGATTGGATTCCGCGTCTTAATTTGTGCGGACTGATACCGCTTCTCCGCCGCTGTCACGGGATGAGAAAATGGGGTCAACAGAAACGGGGTACATCCATATCCTGAATCCCCTAGTAAAACACTTGGCACTTCCGCTCGTTCAAGTTGACCACAAATTTTTGAATTCTCAAAAATTCTGTTATCGTGACAAGATCCATACCACCGGGCAACAACATTGGTAATTTTCAAGTCCGAGGTGCAAATTAGTTGTACATTTATTGAAAAGTTTCCTTTCCGATCGCGAAAAAGTTCCGCATTAGGCCCACCAACTGATTTAATTAAAACATGAGTACAATCTATCGCACCAATAACTCCAGGAAATCCTCCATAATCGTAAAATCTCTGTCGAATTACAACTGCTTCGTTTTCTGTGGGGTAGCGGATGAACTGCGGTTTCAAACTTGCCAGTGCGTGGGAGACGCGTTTGACGATTTTTGATATGGTCCCTTGTGACAGATTTGTCAAATCTCCTATCTGAATCTGAAATGTTCCGGCTGAATAAAATCTGAGGGCCACCAGTAGTTGCATAAAAGCTGGAATTTGTGCTCCTCGTTTTAGCGGACTGACGATTTTTGGTTTGATAAGCGCGGCTACAAATATAACGCCTTCCTTGCTGAGCCGAAAACGTGCCTGAAATTGGTATTCTGAGAAGGATTCAAATGGATTCGACATGTCTTGCAATTTGCGGATGCTGAAACGATTTATTCGGTTCCGACGGTCTTCAAAATCTTGCAGCCGAGAGAGGGCCATGGCAGTGTACCAATTTATCTGCTGCATTTTAAATTACATATTATATACGTTTCGATTTGTACAACTGCAATGTGTATGAAAATTAATTCAAATTAATTGCAAATAATTACCTGATTTTCCAATTAATTATAGCTTCGAAGAAATAATTTTCCTTAATTTTTACTCCAACTAGTAATAATATGTTGATATAAATACAAATTTAACAAATTCCGAGGTCAAAAGTGCAAAGTGACCAACCAAAGGTAGCTCCGTGAGTGACTAGAGAAAGTGAGTGAAAGTTCATAATTTTTCGAGAGTGGAGAAAAACAAATTGTATTCAGAATACCAAACAGAAATCTCACAAAAGTGGCACTCACTTTTTCACCCAAAGAGCCACTCACACTTTTTCGAAATCTCAACTCACGAGAGTGGAGATAATTTTCATTGGGAATACGAAATGTGAGTGGCCACTCCCACTCACACTCAAAAATGTGATTCAGAATACGGGCGTAAGTGAATTTTGAACAAAATAGCCACAAAATAATCACTCCATGATTGCATCACATCACACGAATAAAGATATACAGATGTTGTGATTTGTTGTAAAAATAAAACAAGTTATCATTCAGGGTTAACAGGTTCCTTTGTTTTAAGCCCAATTCGTCTCCTGCTAAGATTTCCAATTTTAATCACTCGTCAACATTTTTAACACGACTGCTCCTTTACAAAAAATAAGAATGCAATCAGATTTTCTCTTAGCCCGTTAACGTGTAAAGGGTGTTGGTTTAATTCGTCCCGATTTCCCATATTCAATATATGAAAACTTGCAGCTAAAAAATGGTTAGCACATTGAGGTATTTTTTAAAAGACTGGCCCATTGCCAATTAGTTTTTTGGCAACTTATATCATAATATGCTAATCATGCCCCCAACCCTTTTCTTTTGAATTCGTACTACATAATTTTTGGGGAAACAGTCGGGCGCGAAATAAATCAACACCCTTAATGATTAATAATCAAACAACTGCATACTACTTAATATCATATTATGAATCAAGAGTCCTTATTTAATGACTCATATTACTTCACCAGTCCCATTTCGAGAGTTTTTATACATAGTAACGTATTGGCCTGTTATCTGGGATAATTTTTACAATTCTTTATTGTATTTTGTGTTAAAAGTAACGAATTATTATGTTGCTCAATAAGCTTGTTCTCAAATGTACAAGATTGCCAAACAAATGAAGCTCATTGGTCAAAAAAACCTGTTATAATTAACTTCGCATATATTTGCATAATTATCTATTCGACTCGGCAAAAATAAATATTCTTACAAATAACTTCTCATTACTCCACTCTCCTCGAATTCAACCACCAGTTTCCAGCAGCATCTCCGTCCAGATGGACCTCCGTTTTTTAATAACCTTGTCCATCTTGGGCACAATCGTTTCTACGACAGAGTGCCTGAGAAAAGAGCAAGAATGGCGACGTGACAAAATATGCGGCCCAACTTCGCCACACCTAAGAGGAAATCCTTTATTGGTGGAAACACAAAGCGGTAAAATTCAAGGAGTCCAATCAGTATCTCGTGGTGGGAAAGAATTTATAAAATTTCTCGGAATTCCGTTCGCACAGCCGCCCGTGGGCAAGCTAAGATTTGAGGTAAATAAATATGTTCGTTTACACACTCTTTAAAATAATGTCACACTTTTGAAAAGTAAATGTAGTCTGAACTTTTTATTAATTAAACTAAATAAAATTCAGAGTATATAAATACTCTTTATCTAGCGAATGTGACTCTGGATGTAGTATAAATAGTTAACATTGAATTGAGACTACATTTACTTTTCAAAAGAGCAACGTTATTTTTTAGAGTGCAAAAACATGCGGTTAACAATCCTGTTTAATTATGGATCATTTTTTTCAGTCTCCGAAACCCTTCGGAAAATGGGACGGTGTCCTTAACGCTACAGAATATCGGCGACCTTGCGCTTACTTTGATTTTTTTAATAAGATGCAAAACGGAGTGGAAGATTGTCTGTATTTGAACGTCTTGACGCCTCTGGTATTCGATTTCTAAAGTTAAACATTACTAATTTTTATCACTAATTAAATCCTTAATGTGTATTAGAAAGATCATTTCATTTAAGCTAACTATATACTTAAGATTTACGTAGAAATGTAGATAAAAACCATAATTCGCAATCTCCTAAATCTCTTCTAAACTGTTAAGAACCGAAGCGACGATCAACTCCTCCCCGTCCTGGTTTACATTCACGGTTTATCATTTTTTTTCGCGGGTTCCCTAGTGTACGAAGGAGATTACAAAATGGATCACAAAATCGTAATTGTCACCATGGATTACAGACTGGGACCTTTAGGTGGGAAGTATTTAACGCAGGAATCCATGACTCATGATAAAAAATTGGCAAACTCCGCACATTTTTAAACATTTGTCCACTCTGGAAAGTTATTATAGAATTCTGGACGACCAATTTCTTGCCCGTAAGCTAATTAGTGGAATGACGGTGAGATTTTTCAGACCAGTTTCGGTGATATCAAAGTTTTCTGAAAGTTTCTTTAACTTGAGATCACTTCCTTAAAAAATCGGCGTACACAAATCTTTTAAATTGGCAACGACATTCATTGCAAATTTGTCGCCCAGAATGAAACAAACTTCTAGAGACGAGAAATCATGAAAAATGTGCTGACGATTTTATAAATCATCAAGTCATCGATTTCTGCATAGTTTAATAAAACTTACCATTAGTTACCATGAAGAAATTCAGGTTTTTACCGGTTTTTTCATTAACCGTTTCAAAATTTACAATTCCTACGACAGGATTTCTAAACACGAACGATGGCTTGATCCGAGGAAACATGGGGTTGAAAGATCAGAACCTGGCGCTTCACTGGGTACAGAAAAACATTCGACAATTCGGCGGTGATCCTGACCTGGTGACGCTTAGTGGCACGAGCGTGGGTGCCATCAGTGTGAATCATCACCTCTTTTCCCCAAGGTCTAAAGGTAAATATATGATTATGCTTTTCTTAAAATTATTAAAATTATTTTCTTAAAACCGCTACATTTTAATTAAAAATAACGACCCATGGGTGGTAAAGGGTTTTATTGGATTTTATGGGTCTCATTCTGGGCTCTTGCCTACACTCTTAGAAATCCAGTAGTAAAATCATACCAGGCGGTATTCATATGTGACTGAGTCATAATGACTCTACCAACGTGGTATTGATAAATAATACCGTGTAGTAATAGCCCCGTATTAAAGTTTACAATATTGGTATCAAATTTTTACGGACCGATATAATTTTAAAACCAAACAGTTACAACTTTAATACCGAGAAATACCGGATTTCTCAGTGTATGTACATATGTAGGTCTTCCCACCGCTTAATTCAGCCCACAATTGATTACACAAGCCACAAAATTCTGCAATCCGTGCCTAATTAAAATTACATTCTTATTTACAGGATTATTTTCCAAAGCCATCATGATGAGTGGTAGCAATCTGACACCAAACGGAATTATGCGCTCACCTAAACAAACTGCAGATAACTTCATTGCCAAAGTGAATTGCACTGTCGGATCGCGCAAAGACGAGGTGGCTTGTCTAAATAACCTGAACACATCCCAGATTTTGAATGGGTATAGGGATATGATTGTGAGACAGAAATCCGGGTATTACACTCTAAAAAATAATTAACCTTTTTTAAGAATTAAATTCAGTCTCAATTCTATTTTAAGTAAATTAAACTAAATCCAATGTTAACTTTGCTAGTTATCAGGTTATTGAACGTTACAAGGAATTTAGTATAGTGTAATCTATATTATAAGCGAGAATGTCTGTTGGCAACGGAAGTGAAAGTAAATTTGTCTGTGACGGAAGTGAAAGCAAGGAAAGTTAAGTTTCCAATGGCGCGAAAATTCAAAATAAATTAAATTAAAAAAATTAAATGCCAGAACCTGCGGTACTCTTTGTGGCTTATTTATGTTGGGTAGTGGTTATCTGAGGGTGGGTGGTTATCTAGGGATGGTGGTTATCTGGGGGTGGGTGGTTGTCTGGGGAAGGTGGTTGTCTGGGGTGCGTGGTTATCTGAGGGTGCGTGGTTATCTGCGGGTGGTGGTTATCTGGGGGTGGGTGGTTATCTGGGGGTGGGTGGTTAACTGTGAGTGGTGGTTATCTGTGATAGGTTATCTGATGGTGTTAGGGCCAAGGTGTCAAATTCCACTATCATTGGTGGTACAAGACTTCAGGTGGCCACGCGGGTCGCCCTCGGCCGCGACGAGCCACGGGACTAAACCCCACTACGGATGAGCATTGGTGGTACAAGATTTCAGGTGGCCAGGCATAATAATATGTATTACTGGTATAATCTTATAAGGCTCATTGCCAATAGAGTTAGTACAATTTTTCTATTGTCATGTGTTGGCTGGAATCAATTAAATTTTGTATTAAATTTGTAAAGTTTGAAATTGTTCGCCATGAATTTGTACTCTTCTCAATAAATACAGTTAACGCTACAACATGGTGTTTTGATTTGAGGTAAATAATTATCGTTGGGTTATGCGATACGATTATGCATGGCAATTTATATCCGCCACGAAGCTCTATGTTAATTAGGGTTGTTATCTTTATTTACTTTTTTTGCCGTTGCCGACAATAATTCACGCTGATAGTGCAGCTTTTATGGCCCGGCGAAGACGGGCTTATTTGCTAGTTAAAATATAAAATTCCGGGTTCATCTAATTTTCGACATGGTCACATTATTTTCAATAGTGTAATATTTATGTACATATCTTGTAAAAATTTATATTTTTATTTATATTAAACTTATATTTTATTTTGCCAGCATCCGATTCGACCTCTCGCACCGTTCGTGCTTTTATTCTCCGCGACCAACGAAATTATCCAAGACGACGACACGTTTATAGCAGAGGATCCCCTGGAGACCTTAAAGTCTGGAAATTTTAGCAAGGTTCCCGTTATCGTGGGTTTTGCGGAATTTGAAATGGAGTCATTAACAGCAAGTAAGTAAATATATGTATGTATACTTAAGGTTCTCTTGTAACACGCGAATTTAGAATTTAAATATGTGTGTCTCAAATTTCCCTTCCTCCATGCATTCCAATTGCAATCTTGAAATTTTTAGGTTTCACATAGAAAGTTATGGGATTATAATTTTGATTATAATTTCTTTCACGAGAAAAAATTTAATTTTTACTTATTTTTTTATACATTTTCTCTTTGAAAAAAAAATCACAATTCTAACTTCGTAAGCCTAAAAATTTGTGAAAATATGTAATAAACTCATAATCAATTGTTAAAAAAACACTCATAGGGGGACATAAAAATTCAAATTTACAGCCCATAAACAAAAAAAACATTAGATCATTGATCAAATTTTTCGCGATATTTACAGTTTACAGCGGAATTCCATCCGAGTCTATCCAAGCCAGCGACAACTTTAGTTTCTGGGCCCCTGAAAAACTCTGCTTTGAAAGAAATTACAAAATTTCCGAGGAAATCAAGCAGTTTTATTACCACGGAGACACAACTGATATTACCACAGGAGAAAAGGCCAGACAAACCTCTAACTTATTTTCGGACAGAATGTTTGTCTCGGGAGTTTACAAGTTTGCAAAGTTGTATTCCGCGCATGCTCCCGTTTTCCTGTATTATCACGCATGGAACCATGAACCTGAACTACGTTTTGCTAATATTTTTTCGGGAAGTCACAAGAATTGGAGTAAGTTTTTGAATCAGAAATACCTTTCTTCGAATTTTTAAGGAATAATTTTTAGTGTTGTGGATGAGTTGCAAATGAGTTGAGTTTATTTGATTTCACCCAAAATTTATTTCGGAGTGAAAAAACTGAATTTTGCACTACTTTTTGACTATTTTTGTATTGATACAAAAATACAATTCCAAGCAACTCATTTACAGCTCTCCGGCAGATCAATATTATTTTTTTACACTCTTAAAAATAATGTCACATTTTTGAACAGTAAATACACTCTGAGTTCTTTATTAAGTACATACGCCGTACTAAATCCAGAGTAAAGTAAGCATGATCAAGAGTAAAATTGGTTCCGGATTTAGTGCGGTGTACTTAATAACGAACTCAGAGTGCATTTACTGTTAAAAAATATGACATTATTTTTAAGAGTGAATGTTACCCCACAGCAGGAAATTCGAATGGGGAAGACTCCCTGCTGCTTTTTGTACGAGGTGATATAAAATTGGACAAAGGCAGCCGAATTTTTAACCTTTCGGAAGATCTTGCCGAGTTATGGACGCAGTTTTGTAACGAGTAAGGAGTTAAGGGACTGTGCAAAAAGCACGTGATCGATTTGAGGGGAGTAGAGACATCCTATCCTTCCCATGTTAATTATAGCGTGGGACATGTATATATAAATATAGAGTACATTGATCACCCTGCCGGGGTAGGGGTAAAAAATTCTTCGAAAATCGATCACATGCTTTATGTAAGGCCACTAAGCTTCCAATGTATGCAGATTATGAATTTGAATTTTCGCGACTCAATTTTTATTATTTCCGCGTATTTATTCAAATAGCGAAACCTGTCCATCTTCGTACTTTTATTGAATTAGACGGATTTTATTGCTTTTATTATTTTACTTTTTACATAGGTTTATGTACAAAGCTAGAACGCTAGAATTTTATTCTTTTCCTTATTGAATAAATAGAAATTAAATAAGTAGATACATGGAAAATAGGAATAAAAAAAACGATAGACATATTTACTCATGAAACAGAAAAATCAAAATTCAAACATCGTACGTAAATAGGTTCCCAAATCTGAAAATCTGATTTTTCGATGCTACAAAATCTTCATTTCCTAAAAAAAGCGCAAGGCGCAGAACATTTTGCATAATTGCCATAACTTCCATTTTTCGATGCAACATGATCTTACTAAAAAATATAATTTTGTTCTAAAAAAAAGCACAAGGCGATGAACAGGTTGCAAAATTTCTGTTTGAATTCATCCAAGCTAGGAAAACAAATAAGACGTAAAAATTCAAATTTAAAAATATACCAAACTTATCTTTACTGCAAGTATTTTTGACTTTAGAGAGTGGATGAATTTCCGTGGGGTCCCGTGGTGGCAGAATAATCCGACCGGGAAGCGGTTGACTTTTCTCAAAATTGATGAAATTCCCGCCCTTATGCAAGATCTTGTTAAGGATAGAATGGATTTCTGGGAGAGGATCGAGCAAAAAATTAAGAAACCGTAACTTTTATTACCAGTTTATGGCCGCAATTTTGATAAACTTCGCTCTGTTGGGCATGAACAAAAATCACTGCACTTAAAAAATACAAAATTTGTTTAAAGTTAATCCTGTATTTACATAATTTCAGTCTGTAATCTTTCAGGATTATTTATGTAATTACCTATAAATCTTTGCGTACCTAGTCTAACCATAAGAAGTGATAGTAGAGCGTAGTATTTGACCCGGTCAACATAAAATTAAAATGCAAGTTGCAGTTTGTACCTACATTCAGTGGTTATCATAGTTGTTAACCTCATTTGCCTGACTTTACTAGGTCAAAAGCTAGAGGAGCTTTACCTCACGCGCGCGACAATAAGTTTTCACTTTTTACGCGAGACAAAAAATTCACAATGTTAGTTATAGGGTAGAAATTCAAGGACAACTACGATCTGGTTGCCCAACCCATTAAATTAACCCTAGGGACTGTGACTATTTATGACCAGAGGGCGGATATGTATGTATTTCTAACTTATTCATATTAAATCAGATCGCACTAAAACTTCGCATACTGACATTCCATCGAAGCGTGATCTCAAAAATTCAAACATACTTTTCCATATTGTACATATTTTAGGGTTTTCGTACATATACATATTTTCATACATATTTTGAGGTTTTTTGAGTACATGCACATATTTTCCTACATATTTTAGCCTTTTTCTAAATACAAATATTTTGATACATATGTCGAGGTTTGTTATGTAAAAATCTTTTTCTTTATTGAGAAGCCAAAGTTTTGTGAAAATTAAATTTTCATGTAAACGACTAGCAAATCCAGTTTGCCACATTTTTTAAGCCAAAAAATTATCCCTGAAAATCTTTAAATATAACTAATGTCGCATTATTGGTCATTAGGTGAAGATTAAAATGAAATATTTAATAATTAGTTGATCAAAGTGTTAAAAATTTGAAAGGTCTGGAAAATTAAATAAAAATACAGTAGAAAATTGCAATTGGAAAATATTTTTTATGTGGATATTTTCGAGTTTTTTAAGCACATATTACATACATATTTTGAGGAATTTAAGTGCATACATATCCGCCCTATGTTTATGACATAAAAGTTCCGGTTGTCCAAGGTCAAGGAGGACTACAGTGATGTCCGAAGCTTTGAACGCCAGAATAGCATAAAATCTCTGTCTGACGCCGAAGACTTTGGCCATACAAATGACCTTTCAACTTTAGAAATGAGATGAGCACGGAAAAATTATCCTAAGATGGAGGCCTTTTATAGTAGAAAGCATCACGCGCTACAGATTTCCTAGACATAAGCTAAGGTCAATAAATCGACCTCCCTCTCCCAGCGGTACGGTAAAAAAACAAACAAAATTTTCCATTTACCGATGGGAATTTCTTGAAGACGGAACCATATTTCCACAAAAAAGAAGCAGAATTTATGCTAAATATTCTTAGGGTTAGTTGATTACGAAGAGGAGGTCGAATGTTATCTTATCGGGCTGCATTCATTGTTTTGGCGGGAATCGGCGGAATTGGGCAAAAACCGCCCAATTTCCTCGATTATGGAGAGGAGATAGTTTTAAAAAATATTTGATTGACGTCATAATGAAGATGTAACACCCCCTCGAC